ATTAATATTAGTATATATTTATATTTAAGTATATATATGAAATAATTAATATACATTTAAATATTTACATTTTAATAATATATATCATTCAACTTTCAATTTCAAATTCTCTCTTCCATTTCCTTATTGACCATCTCTATTATCCCATATACCTTCCTGACTATGTAGACTAGGGACCATGCTGACTTAGAACCATTAAATCTTGATCAGGTGCTTCATTATTTCCCCTACAATCCGCTCTTAATCTCACGATGATAACTTTATAAATTTTAAATTTTCAATATGGTGCTTTAATATACTAAGTCTGAATATGCTAAGTCTAAATAATTAGCACCTGATGACTAGTCTTAATCGAAAGTGTCTCACGTTATCGGGAGGGATAATTAACCAGGGGTTTGTACTTATGGGAAACCTTGAACTCAAGTGTTAAAATTCTCACAAAACGAGGGCAAAAATCTTTGGCGTAGTCTTATCTACTATCTCATATTCCAACAATGTGACCTGAAACCTCACAGTTAACTCCCCCATTCCGTATATTTCGTTTCTTCTCTTCAAGAAAGGCCAACATTTTTCGAATTTTGGAGCCCACACTTCACCGTATTAAACTAAATATTTATCCTATTTATTGGCCAGAGTAGCATTACTTCAAACAAAATCAACAAAAAAATAGTCAATTTACCTCCTTGATATGAAGAGCCTCTTTGGTGAGACGGTCATTCGACCAATAATTCGAAAGAAGACGAAAACAGACATTTAAAAAAAAAAAAAAAAAAAAAAAAAAAACAATTTCAATCATATTTTGCATGAATAAAAAAAAATAATTGTTTATGTAGAAATAATTGAATTGTCAAACTAATAAAAATGACTTAACTGCACAATCAATATTAGGTACAGATAATGAAGTATAGAATTCAGAAATCTTCTCCTTAATTGACCTGTGGTTGCCTTTTTGTTCTCTCAGTTCAAATAAGTCATCAGGACATTTAGGCCTCAATATGCTAAATTTGTTGATCTCGAAAAGGAACTAAGTGAATGTGCATGATCACATGAGTTTAAGATCATCTATGTAATGAGAAAATCATATAAATATTTTCAAAATGAAGATTACCACATTCAATGTTTTGAGGTTTGTTGCACAATGAGCATTCTTAGGATTTTGATAGTCTTCCCCCACACAATTTATTTGTATCAGCTGAAAATGAAAGAAGTCAGTAACATTTTTTAAGTTTAACCTATCTTTGTAAGATAAAACCAATTTGGCTATTTACTCTGAAGTATAGCTAACCATAATAAAGTCACTTGACATGATAAAATATCATATAACTCTTCTATATTATATTTTACATGCAATTTTAGTTGTTTAAAACTTAAAATAACTCCTAATTGGGAAAAATGTGATAGAAAAAGACATTTCATCATTTAACAAATAAAAATAAAGTGCAAACCTAAACACTTATCATATAAAGAAAATTATTTAAGAAGATTATTTTAGCCTTCATTAAAAGTATGAGGGCTAATTAGGTACTTTTATAGGCTTTGAGATTAGAATCACTCAATGTGAATGATCACAGGGCTATTTTGACACTTTACTCGTCAAAAGGAGCATTTAATATCAATTTGCCCTTTTTATTCTTTCTTTTTCATTTGTTATTGGCAATGCATCGAAGTTCACATACAATACAATACAATAAATAATGTATGCAATCAAGGAAAAGAAAATATGAACCTTTAGTAGTTCATCCGAAATTATTCCCAATCCATAAGCATGAGGAGGTTGAGAACTGATGTCAATCCTGTCGCTTGTAACTGGGTTGCCAACTAAATAACCCTGAAGACATTACAAACCATCAAACCATATTCGCATAGAAAGCCTCGAACAGATTTGGGGGAGAAGTTACAAAATTTAAAAGATTTATAGTATTTATATTGTGAAAAGTTTAGGTTACTAAAATTGAATTGTTCTATTTTCTTAGCTTGTCATAGCTTATTTATTGTGAAAAAAATGCTATTTTTAAAGAAGTAAATAAAAACATAAGCAGAAAATTTATTTTGTAGCGATAACTAGCTGAAGGACATACCTTGAGATTAACAAAGGGTTGCCGAAAATTTTCATTGCCTGTGACCCATTACATAGAATTAATTAGCATTTCATTTATAAATTATGTAATCTGAATTTTTAAATAATTACCATCTGCAATCTCTAGAGCAGACAGAGGTGCCATTTTCCCTCCATATGAATCTCCAGCAACATAAAAAGGATTTGATTGAAAACTCGGATGATCAAGCAACCACTGCATCAAAGAATCAACGACTAAAAAAATGGTTATTACTGAAGACATTGCAATTATTAAAATCTGCATTAACCATACACCTTAAATTTGAGGTAAGCCCTTTCATTCCTTCTCACATTAAATTTCAGACATGAAGCATGCATGGAATTAAAATCGTCTCACCTTTATAAGAAACTTATAGATTTGTTTTGCAGATTTTACTTCATCTGTATGATAATCCACAATACTTGGTGAGAATGAGAATCCGGTCCCCACAGGCCAATCCAAAAAGATAATGCTGGAGATCTAATCATCCAAATGGTTTTATTATAGAAAATAATGATAAATGTCACGAATGTAAATAAAAAAAGTTAAGTCAGTTCTTAACCACGTACTTGTGTCCAGGAAAAAGGATTAGATATCAAAGTAGGCAACGTTCCATCATATGCTTTGACCATAAACCCGAGAGGACCTGCACATAATAAGCCTAAAGAAATTAATAAAATCTTACACTTGTAATATATATCGGAAGAAGGGGATGGGAACGAGTAAGTGTTTATGAATGATAAGCAGCAAGGCAATGGGAAGTCAATCTTGCTTATAAATTTCTTGATATCAAGATTTGCAAGCTCTGATAACAAATTTTGTAATTTACAAAAATTGATATCACAACCAACATTGTCGATGATGATGAAGAAGATGATAAACATAATTTGGAAATGAGATTTAAACAAAAACACACAAGCACACACACACTATTATTTGATTCACAAGAGGGACAAGATCTTAAACTATAGCACAAGAAATCATAAATCCAACCCACTTCTCTGCTGATCCAAAACACCAGAATTCTGATCCCCTCTCCCTCAACCAAGGAAAGAAAAACAACAAGTAAACCTTATCTATATATGGATCTATGTATATAAAGGTCTAAAATAGAACAAGAAAAGAAGAAGAAATAAAGGTATGCGCGCATAACCATCTCAGTAAGGTCCTATGACAATATTAATTAATGCTCATTGTTAGAAGAGAAATATAAGTACATACCACTCAATTCCTATGTATTTAAATATCTGATATCTAAACTTCATTTTTTGCATGTGTGCCACTTATCTATGCGTGAAAAACAATTAAGTATAGTTGATCAAATTATCATGCTGTGTGTGTTCTAAATATCAAATTTCCATGAAATAAATTATAAGAAAATAAGAAAATGATCACCAACGTCCAAGGCCAAGCCAGAAAAACCAGAGCAATAAGGTCCACCAACAAGAAAAAGAATAAGTGGATCATCACTGGGATTCCTCTCAGACTCTACAAAGTAGTAGAAGAGTTCTGCCCCGCTCTCTTCATTCACTGTCACATAGCTTCAAACCGCGAGGAGATTTATTAGCAACAAATTTCAATCATTAGGTATGCAAATTTAAGTTGAGATCTCACCCTGTTTCAAGGTAGAAGGGAAGAGAGCCATTGAAACCTGGAAGATGAGTGATTCTGCTTGCATGCAACGCATTACAGTAATAAGGAAACAAACAGAAATTGCAGAAGAAGACTGATAGTATTTGCAGGAGGATGAAGGTAGTAGACATTGTTGAGAGAGAAGCAGGGAAAAAACAGGCTTCGTCACTAGAAAAATGGTTAGAGAGAAGTTTATGAATACACATATAGAAACAACCACAATTAAAAAATTTTTTTTTCTCAATAGATTTGAACTGTTCCACTTTAGCCGTTTCTGAATAAATTGTGATAAAGTAATCACGTGATCACAGTAAAAAAATCTCAGAAATATAAATACGTTCTTAAAATAATACTAAAATATTTATTTTTTTTTGGTAACTCTAAATTAATTAAAAGAGTCGTTCTGATAGTCCTATTCATTCTTATGTATTTAATTAAAAGAACCTCTCTAAATTAAACAAAACAAAGTTCTTTAAGAAAATTAGGAGGGAACAGTTGCGTGGGCGATAACAGATTTATATACATGTATCTAAAATTATGTGTATATCCATGGTGCAATAAAATAATAATAATTTTTGCGCATCGCATGATTCACGAGCGGAATGAAATTTTCGCATCCTAGCTTTATTCGAGCATCCATAAGACGCCGATAATTTGAAATTAGCGGGAAGTGCCGTTAGAAACTCTTACGTAAGAGAAAAAATTATAGGAACTAACCCATATAAAGTATTCTACTATAAATGTACAATTCAGGATATGTCGTTGCACTGTATTTAGAACAATTTTAATTAATTTATTTATCTTAATTAATTTATATATCAAATTTAAGAGATTAATTTATTTATCTTCAATAATGTATTTCAAATTCAATTAAAAATTTTGTACATCTAGTTATGCTTATAAGTTTAAAACAAACTTTTTTAAAAAATAAATATTAAAAAAATTAAATCTTTTTTCGCATCAATTTAGAAAAAAAGAGATTATAAAAAAATTGAATTATTTTCTAAATATAAAATTATTGACATAAATTATATTCATAGGTTTTACTTAACCAATTTATGTTTCCCTGATTCCTTTGTCTTTTCCTTTCGCTTTAATGCTTAGCTGACCATTTCGATGATTAAGTGTTGTGCAGGATGGTCCCTTTATTTCTGCTCTGGTTGCAATTGATGCATTCTGCAGTAACGGCCTCCTCTTATAAAACTAACTAAAAATCCAACCAAATAAACTCTCAATATATGACAAATCAACATGTATTCTTCTCCTACAACTTGAAAAACATAGAAATATACCGTGAAGGCAGGGAAAATACAATAAAATTCGATTCATACATAAATTTTCTATTATTAATCAACATAAAAGGATCATATCTCCTCCCCAAAATAAGTGAAATGCTTCACTGAAATCAGAGACTCTGGTGAGAAATCCATCTTTCAAACATAACAAAACATTCGAATGGCATTGTATCCGGTGCTATATGACTTCCCCCCTGCAACCAGTTCACAAACACCAATGAAATAATTACTCTCAAAATTACTCTCAGAACAACATAACATCCGCCATATTATAAATCAAACATCAAGAAAACAAACATCAAAAAAATTCATACCTTCACGGTTGCAAAAGTTAAATTGTTTGAGAACAAAATGGTGTATCTACAAATTCAAAATCAAGAAAAAAAAAGTTTCAGTCTTTTGAGTAAAAGAAGAATCTTCGTTAAAAAATCACAAATTTACAGTCTCCTTACCCTGCAACTTGCCCGCCAGCATGCCACGATCTCCGTGGCTCCAAGACGGAAAAGTTGAGAGATTTTATCCACTCTAGCGTGCCCAAGAATGGAATGCTCAGATCATGATCACCACTGTTTGAACCACAATATAATGAAAATAACACTTAAATATCCGTATAAGCATCTGTCTTCTTTCTAACATTTACAGAAAAGAAGGCTGGAAATTTACCTGTAAACTAGAGCTCGAAATCCTCGAGTAATGAGACTATAGTGATAAGGTACAATGCTTGGGACGCTTCGTGTGTAGAAATACGAATCCACATCGAAATTATCAAGGTGAAATCGTTCAATTGTTCCCTTGAAATATATACATTATCACACAATTTCAAACATTTGAATTCATCACAATGATGAAAAATAATTCATTTATAAGTACCTCCTTGACATGGAGGGCCTCTTTCACAAGATGGTGATTCGCCCAGTAATTGGCAAGAAGAGCAGCGGTCTGAACATATTACCATTTCAGATTAGTTTTTACTAATCTTTTAATAAGTTTAGCAGCTATATTTGTAGCACACAGAATGAAGGGAATGTGCAGAGCTCAACTATGCAAGAAATATCAGGAACTGATGACAATGGTGAGCTGATGAACTCTTCTTGATTCTCCTTTAGAGACCTCATAGCTGACGTTGGAGGTTCATCAGGACAGGTGGGGTCCAGTATACTATAAACATCAATTTCTGATAGAAACTGCATGCAATTACAGGAAGACAGTTTCAACCCAACTAAAGAAAAGAAAAACACAATTTGTTTAGAAGGAAGACATCGCTCACTCCATTTAATGTCTCAAGATGAGTGGCACAAAGAACGTTTTGAGGCTTTTTGAAGTCTTTTTCTCCAGCACAGTGCGCCATTATCAGCTGAATATAAAGAAAGCTTCAATACTAACGCATGAAAGGAGTAAAAAATAGGAGTGGACAAAACCTGGCATTGTTGGATTCAATGTTGCCCTTGTAATGACATCAAGACCCTACTACATATTAAGATCAAGCATAAAGCAGAAAGAGAATTGTTGACCATTAAAATTAAAATTATTAATTAGTTTTTAATTAAACTTCATTAATGAATGATAAATTTCCTGCATATTCCACTTCCGTAATCGTTCGCGCGAAACACTTTGATAGTCATGACATCGGAGAAAAAGACCAATAAAGGAGGCAACAACGGTGGATTCTAGAAGTTCGCCCTGATAGTCATGACATCGGAGACTCAGACGTTGTCATTTCAGAAAGAGATAATACAAGAGAAGAATACGGGACCCGTCCCGAGGATAATTTCAAGCGTTTCACAAATACAAAAGTACATATTTAAAGAGCAAAAATATTATGTTACCGTTGTGACGAGAAATATGCCCCGGGCCACCATTGCAAGGATCGCGCCCTTCGAATCATGTTAGTTCAGAAGAACGAGACAAAGTGTGGGGAATCAGAGGAGGATGTGGTGGTAGAGAAGCATCTACATTTGGGTGTACCTGAAGTGTCCCTTAATTCAATGGTGAGATTTACTTCGAATCATACCATGAAAGTGAGCGGGTGGATCGGAGAACAACCGATTATGGATTTGATAGATAGCGGGGCCACACAAAACATTTTCTCAAATCAAGTCATGGAGAAGCTAGGGTTAGAGCTGATGACTACAGGAAGCTTCGACATCAAGAGAGAATAAGGACTGTGGAGAAACGTCGGGGAATTTTCAAGGGTTTAGTTCTGACACTGCATGGTCTATAGGTAGTGGAGGACTTCTCTAAGATTTAGGCAGCACATATATGATTTTGGGGATGAAGTGGTTGCGAGCGCTTGGGGAGATGGAGGTGGATTGGAAGTCCCTGATGATGGAGTTCTAAGTAGAGGGTAGGAAGGTGATGCTGAGAGGAGAGGTCAATTTATGCAAAACTATGATGTCACTTAAAACCCTTGCCAAGTCGATTTAAGGAGCATGGGTGGGTTACTTGGTGGAGTTGCAAAGCATTGAGGGGTTCAAGAGTCAAAGTTGATAGAGTTTCCTGAAAAGATCCAACAACTCCGACAACAATTTATGGACTGTCTTCCAACAGCCAAGCGGGTTACCACCCCAGAGAGAGCACAAACATGCTATTACATTAAAGGATGGTGTTTCTCCTATCAGTATCAGATCATGCAGGTACTCCTAGATATAGAAGGATGAGATAAAGAAGCTGATTCACGAAATGCTCGAGGCTGGGATTATCAGGCCTAATGTAAGCTCTTTTTCCAGTCCAGTCCTATTGGTAAAGAAAAAAAGATAATAGTTGCAGATTTAGAGTAGACTACAAAGCTTTGAACAAGGAAACGGTGTTGAACAAGTTTCTTAATCTTATGATTGATTAGTTACTAGAAGAGTTTCATGAGACGATCATTTTCTCAAAAATTGATCTTATGTCGGGATACCACTATATCATGATGAATCCAACAGATGTACAAGACAACTTTCATGACACATGAAGGACATTATGAGTTCTTAGTGATGTCTTTTGGCTTCACCAACGCCTTGACATCACCAACTCCTTGACAACATTTCAATCCCTCATGAATATGATTTTTCAACCTTACCTCCAGAAATTTGTCTTGATCTTCTTTGGTGCATTATGGTTTACAATCGTACTGAGACAAAGCATGTGAGACACCTAAGTACAATACTCAAGGCGTTGAGAGAGCACTAGTTGTATGTCAACTTGAAGAAATGTTCATTTGCACAGTTACATGTGGAATATCAAGGACATGTGGTGACCAGAATAAGGGTAGCAATAGATCAGCCCAAGATTAAGGCAATGATGGATTGGCCCTTACCAATGAGTTTGAAAGAGTTGAGAGGATTCTTGGGTATCATAGGCTACTAACATAAGTTCATGAAAGGATTTGACATGATAGCATGGCCACTGACAGAGCAGTCGAAAAAAGACAATTTCAAATCGGGGAAAGCAACAACATAGGCATTTGAACATTTGAAGAGAGCCACGACCAATGTCCTTACATCAGTACTTCTAGATTTTAGTAAACCATTTGTGGTGGAAACAGATGCGTCGAAGTATGAGTTGGGAGCAGTGCTCATGCAGGATCAACAATGCTTTCTTGCTTCAGTCAGGTTGTTACGACCAGAGCGAGGCCAAAATCAGTGTATGAACTGCAATTGATGGCGATTGTCTTGGTCATTCAGAAGTTGAGGTCCTAATGTTGGGACAACATCTTCTCGTCAAGGAAAATTAGAAGAGTTTAAAGTATCTTTCGGAGCAGCAGATAAATTAGAAGAGTTTAAAGTATCTTTCGGAGCAGCAATATCAAGATGTCAACGAGCATTAGAAGCATTAGAGATGGCTATCCAAGCTACTGGGGTATGATTTCTAGATTCAGTATAAGTCAAGATGGAAGAATAAGACAGCCTACGCACTATCAAGAAAGGTGGAGAAAGCTCAATTGATGGCCCTATCGGTACCCTTGGTCCTATGCTAGGAAGCCTTGAGAGAAAAGAGCGAACTTGATGAGGAGCTAAGGAAGATAAGGTCGAGTTGCTACAGGATCTGAGCTGTCATCCAGGATATGCATTGAGGATGCAGCAGTTGCTCCACTATTGGCGATTCGTGCTACCAAGGGCATCAGAATTTATTCTCAGATTATTATAATAGTTTCTTGGCAGTGCGATCGGGGTGTACTCAAGATCACAAAATAGTCATCTAGTGGCATGAGTGGCAGAGCTTTAGTGGGTACCCGAGCGTATCATAAGCTCGATATAGCTAATTATGTAGCAAATTATTTTGGGTGGCAGCTGTCTTTTTGGCTGAGTTTAGAATTATGGGTGAGGACCATTAATGATTTCCGCAAGTGAGAACCCATAGCAGGCTCAACAAATAGACTATTAATTTCCCCTCTAGGCGGCTTAATGAAATGTGGTTATAGTGTGTACAATGTTTGAGTAATGAAGAGCAAGAGTTGGTTCACGATTAATAACTTGATGAGAAGATACAAACCTTGATGATAACTTGATTAACCTCACTTAAATGAATATAGGAGTACAAGCATGCCGGGGAAAAAAGAACTTTTTCACTTTTTTTGCATGCAAAAATAAAATTATTATGTTTAAGGTAATTTTGAGGAGGTTTTCAAAGTCTGAAATGATTTCTAATTATATCTAACCAAATGATATATTTAAGAAAACTTACCAACTTTTAAAATATGTTTAATAATTTCAATCAACTAAACAAGCCCCAAAAAGAGGAAGGAACCACCTTATAGAACTCTTTGGAAATAATTCCCAATCCATAAGCATGTGGAGCTTGGGAACTGGTATCAACTTTTTCACCCGTTATAGTATTACCAACTAGATAACCCTGAAAATTACCAAAAAAGTTTGAAACTTCAACAAATTTATCCCAACTAGGCTTATAAGCATTTGTATAAAAAGCATATGTAATGATAATTTTCAAGATACAATATAACTACATCAACTAAATACCTTGATATTGATTAGAGGTTTCTGACCACCTTCATTTCCTGTATTCAACATAAAGAATAATTGACACCTTAACATAAGTAAATTATGTCATGCTTTTGTTCATATAAAATCTTTCAGCAAAAAAGTCACCTTCAATAATTTTATGAGCAGTTAGCACGGCGACTTTTCCACCATATGAATCACCACCCATGTAGAAAGGATTTGAGAGGAAACTCGGATGATCAATGAGCCACTACATTATTTCAATAAAGTATATAATGTTCTGAGAGTTATAAATACAACACAGTTCTAAAGTAAAGTTCTGCATTTTAAATTGTTGAGCCTCATTAATGCCGCCCTACGATAAAATAACTTGCATAGAGACAATAAGTTGATCAATCTTGTGAAATACATAAATTTCAAAAGAATTTATGAATAGTTTTATTAAGAAATTGACATTAATTGTTTATTGTGTGAAGCATATGACATCAATAAGCATTGGAGAGTTTCAAATGTATTTATGAGTATTTTTATTAGGAAACTGACATTAATTGTTTATCAGGAAAAGTATATGACATCAATAAGCATTAGAGGGATATCTAAATCTGAGTCAAACTCTATTTATCAATGTTGAGAATAGTTGCACAACCTTATTTAGATTATTGAGAGCAAATAAATAAAAAAAAAATACAACATACAAAACACATATTTTTCTACGTAGATTCACTCAAACAATAACTACATGATTTTCTGCCACTACAGTTCCGCTATCATTATGATGATGAAATTTTACCTAGTCCCATGGGTTATGTGGGCTCCGAAATTTCGAAATGGTTCAGCCTTCTACGAAGATGAGAATTAAGGACTAAAGAATGAGGAAAGTTTATCGTGAGGTTTTGGATAGAATTTTCAGAAGACAGACGAGATAGTAGATAAGACACTACCCAAATATTTCAACCTCATTCTGCAAGGATCTTGAGATATGGGGTTCCATATTTCTCGTATGAAACAGGCTCCTATGGTTAATTACCCCTCCCAATAGTGAAAGAGTACTTTCAATTAAGGCTAGTCATAAAGGAGTTGATTAGTCAGTGTACACTAGAAGCAAAAATAAAGTTTAAAGTTTATAAAATCATCATCACTGTGAGCTTCAGCGTGAATTGTGTGGGAAATGATTACGCAGCTAATTATGATGCCATTGTTCTGTCATCACGGGGTGTTATGGATCCTAGTCTACTTAGTCAGATGAGGTAGCCTACCAAACCTAACAAAAGAATCATTGTCAATAATCATTGGTTGTTTCGCCCAAGGGAATCTTATATATCTGGGGTGAATATTTATTTAAAGGACTAATCTAAGTCGATCTTAGCTGACAATGGACTTTGTACCCTGTCAAATATATCATATGATTCATAACTCAAAAAATATAAAATATAGTTGGGCAACATACAAAATAAAATCATGACAATAATAGAATTGGGTTATTTGACGGCAAAGCACAAGGTCAGAAGATTTTGGTCGTAACCGCTTCTTATGGTCATTTGACACCAAGATGACATGGATAATGGAGTCAGGTAACGTCCTTATAGGCACAAAGTTATTCTGAGTTTGAATTTAATAATATACTTGACAAGACATCAACTTTATGATGAGCTTAAAATTAGATTTTGTCTGCCCTGCTAAATGATGGTGGATGGTTTGTTGCTCTTTAGCTTTTTAGTGACAAAATTTTCATTTAAATATCTTTGAATCTTTATGAAATTAATATTTAAGATTTTTGAATTTTGATTGGGGGATTGGAATGAGATGCTTATTTTTTTGCTTGTCTATAATTGAATTAATCATTTAATCATTAAAAGATGGTTAGTTCTGACAATTACAATCCCTTTTAGGAGGATGATCAGATTGGCTTTGTGGGAGCCCAGTCTTGTCCACTCCAGTTCACTTAGGGAAAAGGATCAAACAAAGACACGAGACTTACAACTTTACCCTTTAGGAAAGGTAGCCCATTTGAGATTGTGTTATTCAGTACTTCAATTTGACTTTTGAAAAGGATGAATTTTTATTAATCTTTTGAAAGACATGTTTCTTGAGATAAATTTGATTTTATCTTTAAAATGTAATTAACCCATGCAGAATTCTCAAAAAATTAAGATTTCTAAACATTAGACAAGTGACATAGCACACACAGGTATTTGACTATGTGTGTATTTTAAAATTTATATTTTATTATTTGTAGGATTGTATTATCAACGAAATATATGCAAATATTTCATTTTTAGCCCTAAAATTTGCCTTATGTCTGCTTGTGAATTTGTTTTGTGGATTCGATGTTGATATATGTGAAAAGCTTCATTTTGAACCACTTACATGTCGCCTTCTGCCTGCTTGTGGAAGTTTTGTGGATCCAGTGGCAATTGAAATAATCTAGACTTTTATTGTGTATTTTCGAATATGTTTCTCTCACACATTCAAATTTTACTGAAAATGCCCAAGAAAACACCCATATTCGTAGTGCATGACTCTAAAGGCTTTAACTAAACAACAGTCTCATCTATATTTATAGAACTAGTATTTTTATCACAGGCTCCATTTGAGCTCGTTAACGAGTCATTGAGTCCCCCTTAAATATTGTGCATCATTTACCATTATAATGAACTAACATTACAAGTTTCACTGAAGCAAGTTGAAAAGTCAGCGAATCCACTGAGAATGTAGAACTTGTTGGGGTCCAAAAATTCACCTTATGTCTGTTATTACAAGAGAGGTGACGATCAAAACATTCTAGACTTTGATTATGTACTTAAGAGCTCAAGTGCACCCCCATAATCATAGTGCATGATTCTAAATGATTCAACCAAATAATAAAATGCCTCATTTATATTTATAAATGATGCCCATCACAAGTTCTATCCGAGTTTGTTGACGAGTAGTCCAATCCCCAGTAAAAATTATGTAGATTCTCTTTAATGCATCATTTACCTTTATAGGTGAACTAGTGAGTTCAAAATAGATTTCATTTGAGTTCGTTGGCGAGTTGTAGAATCTCTTACATATGAGGTCCTAAAATTCGTCTTCTATCTGCTATTATAAAAGTGGTGCAGATCCGGTGGTGAAACATGTGCAAAAATTCTCTTTTAACAACTTAAATATCGTCTTATGTCTGCTTGTATGAGTGATGCGGATCTGGTGGCAATTAAGGCAATTCATATTATAATTATATATTTAAATTTATGCATCTCTCTAATACTTAGCTTTCGTTTGAGTGCTCAAGTAGACCTCCCAATACTTCTTATCTCTCATTTGAGTGCTCAAGATTAAAGATTCTTGAGGAAAGACAAATAAAAGGCAAATTATATATCTTTACTGAGCATTGTTGTACGGACGGTGAAACCAAGCCTACTAGAAAAAAATATTTTATGAATTTACGCATTTTTCCTATTTGAAAATTATTGTTCTAGAATTGTTATATCTTTTAGGCAAATAGTAGTATAGAATGTGGTGCAGATGAGTGTACAAAATGATATATTTTCATTTTTTCATATGTATCAATTTTGTGTTAAACACATCTGATGAAAGAAACAAAATAGTATAATATTATGCACTTTTACTGTTTGAAAATTACTATTATGAAATTGTTCTCATATTTTGGACAAATGATGATATAGAAGGTAAGACAAATCAGTGTACAAAAGGATAGATTATCCATTCTCTTATGTATAGACCATGAGTTCTTCTCCTCTAATGTGACAAAACAATATAAAAGGACGTTGTTTCATATGGCTTTGAGCGTGATAGAGACATTTTGACCTTGATTTATGTGATGTTATACTTGTTTTGTGTCATCATTGTTATGATCGACTGATTTGACTTATATATCATATGAAGAGTTTAACATCTTCCTCTTGTCTGATCTCTCGTGTTGAAACGAAATGCCCCCTTTTGATTCAGTTAAAATTTATTCATTTAAAAAAAAAAAAAAAAAACTTCAGCAACCAATATTATACGCAAAAAATGGAAAATTTACATACGTACCACACAATTTTTATGCAATTACATATCTAGCAATTAACCTTTGATATTTACATTTATAAATTTGGTGTTTAAAATCTATGCATAAAAAGATGTATTTCACTTTTAAAAACCAATAATAGTGATATTCTTAATACGATATCAAAGATTTGAGTGGCATGTATCTAAATATGAATGTTTTGATGTTAGTTTGTAAATATATCAGAATAATGTGTTGAAATGTTAAGAATTTTTGCTTTAGATATATTCTATTTTTATTGTATTGTATTTATTAGTAGTTGCTACAATTATCTATTGTTGTTAATTTCTATTTTATTTTTCTAGCATGAGAATTTTGTGATTGATTTTGTGACTTTCTTAATGCGGTGGCATTTCCCTGTAATTTATCTTGCAACTAAGTATTACTAAATTGAAGAGAAAAAATTATTATTTCCCGCTCACAAAAACTACAATACTATATATAAATGTCCCATAAATAGGGGCTTTCTACTCCAATTCAATCCTCATAATGACCTAAGTACACAAGTCAATCCACATATTATCTTTCCACAATAAGTTTGCTTGTAAGGTTAAAAATCAACTTCACAACTTAACAAAGAACTAAATATACTTACTTCTAAGAGAAACCATTTTATCATCTTACCTTCCTAAGAAACTTGTAGATAAACGCAGTCCCCTCAACATCTTCGGTGGTATAATCTTTCGCAGTTTTTGAGTAAGAGAATCCAGTACCAATAGGCCAATCCACAAAGATCATGTTTGAAATCTGAAAAATCAAAATAATTCAACAGATGAGCAATTGAGTACAAAAATTCACACTAAATAACAGAAAAAAAAAGAGCAAAAAAAAAAAATTGAAATCTGAAAAATCAAAATAATTCAACAGATGAGTAATTAAGTACAAAAAATTCACATGAAACAAAAGAAAAAATGAGCAACAAAAATGGTTGTATTAAGCCGCTCACCTTTGTCCAAGCGAAAGGATTAGCATATAAATTGGGCAGTTGGCCATCAAAATAATCAAGCTTGAATTTGAGAGGCCCTGCACAAACAGGTCAACTCGACACATTAAGGATCTGCAACCTCCATTCAAAATTGATTTGTGCCAGTAAAAAGAGAGGAAAAAATGAAAGAATAGGAGATGAGGCGAGGAAGAACAGAGCTTACCCATATCCAAGGCCAAGCCATTGATACCCGAGCAGCCCGGCCCTCCAATTAGCCACAGGAGGAGTGGGTCTTCGCTTGGATTTCTTTCAGACTCCACAAAGTAATAGAATAACTCAGCTCCGCTCGTCGCATTCATAGTCACATACCTTTTTCCATCCAAAAACCAAAACCAGTAAAGACAAGTTCAGGATTGATTTCATAGAAGTGTACCACATAAACTGTTAATATAGATCAGAATGAGATTGGGGATTAGTCTCATTCCTTGAGCAAGACAAAATTAAGTTGCCGATATACAACCATCTATTAAAATATTTAGCTTTGGGATTCACAAGTGAGGGGAAAATGTTAAATCCACGGATGGATGGATGGATGGATGTCTGTCAGCCTCAAATGCACAGTACTGAAATAAGGAAGAGTTTGAGACTCACCCAGTTTCCAGACGAAAGGGAAGTGAGCCGTCGAATCCAGGGAGATGAGTAATATTGTAAGAGGCAGAGAATGAGGAAGAAAGCAAGCTGAAGAAGAGGACGTGACACAGTGCCGCCTGTAGTAGAAGAGGGAGCTGACGACCGGAAGTAGACATGGCTGCTTCGGAGTGGAAGCAGACAGACAGATTGGCCTCGTAAAGTAGAGGCCATTGAAGTAGGCACGAGTTTAAAAACAATCAATACTCGCGCTGGTTCACACTGAGAATTACGTGATGCCTGTTCACTCAGGCCATGGAAGTAGATTCCAAGTTATTAGTCCCGAGGCAAATGTAAAAAATATTCGGCACTTTTACAAGGCTAACTACCACCACTTTATGGCATGTAGAGTGACAGCGAGAAAAAACATGTGGAGAATTTTTGTGAAGAAATTTATTTATTTATTTTTTTGTCTCTTGGGAAATGTATAGTTTTGATGTCTTTATTTTAATATTTTTTATGTTATTTTATGCAGATGCCCTTATGATACCAAAAATTTGATATGAAGTACCTGTGGCGAAACACTCTTTAATCACACAAGTATACCCTAAACCCTATACAAGTCATATAAATAATATACAGAATTGAGTTTAATGTATTGATCCCACAGGGAGTGAGACAAATGTCAGATTAAAAAAAAAAATTCTAGTCTATTAATTCAAGTTCTAGCTCGATTGTCCGAAATTTGATTTTTAGTACAAATAACTATAATTTTTTTAAAGTGATAAAACCTAGATTAACTTTGTGGGATAGAGAGTTCACAAGGTTTATAGTGTTGACAAATTCTTTCTTGAATTGGTTAGGTAGAAATGTAGGTTTAAACTACAAATTCAAATTTAAGTGTCAAATTGGAGCATAATCTTTCTTACCACCTCCTAGGTATCTAAGAAAGTTCGGCTAGTACACTAGTTTAATTCCCCAAAACTAGTGAACAACCCAATTATCTGAATCAACCTAATTAGTTTGCACAAAACCAGGCAATATTCCTATTCCCCTAAATTCATGTGGTTAACTTAATTGTTCTACTAAGATCTCTTATGAGTTCATCAGTTCATGATATTTAACTATACACTTAGCCGAGATAAATGTAAATAAATTTTTCGAGGTTAACACAACACTATGCTAATTCTAACAAGAATCATACCAATAATTCAAACCTATCATTCCCACACTTTCAAACCAAAGGAGAAATGAATATATACTCACCACGTATGCTTTCGAACAATAATTTCAAAATTTAATTGATAGAAAATAACCAAATTACAAGAGTTTTGTCAACTAAGAAACTCATAAAAATTTAAACTAAAAAGATTTTCTATCTTCCTCTAATCAAAGAAGGATGACACAAGTATGAATGCAACTTCACTCTATATACTCACAATCTCTCTTCATTACATCACTTAAGGGGCCTGTGTTCCTCTTCCTTCAAGTGCTCTTCACTAATATCCTCTTCCAAAAGGGTGCTTTCTCTCTGAAATCGCGTCGCACTACTCAGTTAGAGCTGCAGTCTCAAAATCTCCTTGTTTCCTTTTTTTATTAAGGACATCTTTCTTGAACTTCACATAGCTAGATATTTGCTCTATTTTTGTGTTATTTTTCTCTTTTATTGTTGAAGGAGCAGTCAGTTTGTCTGTCATGGCATAATTCTCTTTCTGAGTAAATCTCTCTTCCAAAATATATGAATGATATGGAGAAGAGAGACATCGAAAGAAAATGATATACATCGATGAAGACAAACAAGAAAAAAACAAGAGAACTTTCTTGAAGAAAAATTTGCTTGATAACCCAAGAGCCTACACTCAAAATATGATCGGGTCGAAAATGCCTTTAAGACATATCTGTGAAGAAGACATAAAATATAAACCTATAACTAGAGATTCAAGTGTGTTTTCTTATTCTGAGGTCAAGAGCAACTCATAAAGGGACGTATCCCTTTGGCTAATTACATATTGGGAGGTGCCCAGAAATATTCTCAATAAAGAAATCCTGTTTACACTTGTATGACGATTAGTAGAGGGCTTACAAAGGACGGTTATCCCATAGGAACGTCCTGATGCCATCAAAGCTTGTGTCGATCCATACAGGCAAAGATTTAGTCCCTCACAATCCTATATGAATGGTGGCTTATCGGTTGACCGGAGCCTATGAAATAATCTGGTCGTTACGTAGGGTCCACACCATGCATCCAAGGCCAAATCGGACCATAAGGGCAGATGGTGAATCACCGTATCCTAAATGGGCGGCGACCTATCCACAAGTGAAGCCTACACAGCGACATCAACAAAGCGTCAGAGGGAGTGATAGGGCTCGAATGTGGTAGTCAAATGAAGGGAGGTGTGATCCCTAACAGGTAGAGGTAGCCAAGTTTGTGTACCACAGACCCGTCATCCAAAGCCACTATGATCCTAAGTTTACCTGGTCATGAAGATAGTCGACCTAACACGCCCAGAGAACCGCGATCAGTAATCTGTGAATTGCGTCGTCTGCGAGAACATCAGTAGCCCTAATGTTAAATGAATGAAACTATATCCTATGATTATCAGGTGGAGCTCTATGTGGTGGGACTTATACCCGTCAAAGTGAATGTATTATCAGGTGGAGCTCTATGTGGTGGGACTTATACTCGTCGAAGTGAATGCTGTCGTTGAAAAAGAAAGAGAAAGGGAGGTTACGCTACGAAGCTGGAAATACTCCCAACGAAGGAAATACACACCGTTTGGAGTGACTAACTACCTATGTGCACTTAACAACCACCTAAGTAAAAATTTTTGTTAGGCCAATCGGGCTGGAGAAGCATGAAGACTTCTCCTCGGAACATGTAGAATGATGCAGTTATCTATCCCTAAGCATAGAGACTTTATAAATTATGAATTGGAATATGATCATACATGCAACCCATTTTAAAACTAACCTGAAGGTCATGCAGAAAAGTAAAAATAGGTTTTAACAGACAAGTAAAAATAGGTTTTAAGTCCTCAGTCTTTTAATCCTAAATTCTAATTTATCTTGAAATTTTATTATGAGTTTGTAGAAAATTTATTACTTTTTTAGATCCTAAATAGCCTAAATTGTGGCGCAAGTTTCATAGACAAACCCAATAAAATAATGGCGAAGTCAATCCAAGCATAAAAGCATGCAAAAAAGACAATAAAATAAGCCAAATATAAAATAATAATTGCTAATGCTGAGGGGTCGCGACATATCCTATAAAAGAAAAAGAAGACCGGATACAACATAAGTACACGTCTGGTCCAAATTCTATACATAAATGAAATTTAGAATTAAGGTACGAGAAAACAGCTCCTGGTCCCTGTCACATGGTTCCTCCCGCCTGACATCTCGAAACTCATGCACATACCTTATTTCTAATACATGACTCTCTTAGGGACTCTAAAATGTACTTAGAAAAAATAAAAAAAAGGACTCGGCCTACATTAAAACAACATTGTGGGAAAGCTAACAAACATGCAACGCATATGAGCCGAGTCTTTTTTATTGGGAGAGCTAAATAACACCTTCAAGTAAAAAATTAATATAAATCATCATGTGCTCCCCTTTTAATGGTAATGTGTATATGCATATACATAAGCACGACTCCCTACAAAAAAATGCATTAATGTACTATCATGCACATCAAAATCAATAAACATGCAAGTATGACAAAAACACAAAAGGTGATAACTGACTAAAACAACCAAACCAACAGAAAACTATAGCTAGGATGTCGAAAAGACTACCCAACATCCTAAATTGAATTCTAGAACACAATAACGGAAAGATGGGTCCTAACTAACATGTAAGTGATCAGAATAAGTCTTTGGGTATGTATGACTTTGAGGGGTTCACCACACCTGCCCCATCTTAAAGAACCAATGGATCTTAAGAATGTCACCCAGGATGGATTTTGAAAAAAGAAAAAGGGCTGGTCTTACATATGACCTAGTTTGCAACATGCATAATTTTAAATTTATGGCGGATATAATAAATAGAAAAATATTTTTCATTAAATTCAAACCTATAACACGCAGGGTGGCAAAAGTTAGATCCCTTAGATCTCTAACACTGTCATACTTGTGTCAGTCCCGATCATTTAACTCGTATTGCTCTTCAGGATCGACCCAACTAGCAATGTTCATTAAGACATCGCGACCAACACGAGATCACTCGTCGTTCTTGCTTGGCTTGCTATCCATGCATGTATACATATGCAAATGTAAACAACCATATGATAAAAGCGGTGAGGAGTGTGTCATGAAGACAACGACTCAAAGGGGTGGATTTTTCGTGGAGACAACGACCCAAAGAATGAGTGTGTTGTCGAGTCAATGACCCAGAAGAGTGGGCGTGTCTTGGAGGCAGTGACCCAAAAAGACGGGTGTGTCATGGAGGCAGTGACTCAAGTGAACGAGTGTACCATGAGGGGGCAATGACTCGGGAGAATGATGATTCTCACTGCTATAGTGATAAAAGTGTGGTGAGTATATGAATGAATACTCAAAATGAAATTCAAACATATGATAATAACTATGCAAAATGTCATGCAAACAACACTAATGCACATGCAAAACACACATCATGCAAGTGATGTTAGTTGTTCGACCTATTGAGTCGATTAAGGTGATCAACCCTAGGCAACATAGCCAAGGGCTCAGTCGGGCTAAGGAAATCGACATGACCAAAGTGGTTCGTCGACTGAGCCTGGGTGGTCGGTAGGACCAAAGTGGTCGGTCGAACGGGTCGGGCCAGTCGGTCGAACCAAAGAGTAATGTCAATCGAGCTGGGTCGACGGGTTTAGGTAAAGTGCAGTGTGAAATGCAACATGTCAAACGTGTGTAATTGGTCAATAGGCATATGACCTTATCGATTAATATCGACCCACCAATTTGCCTAATGTGGGTGATTAGACCCACTACGACACCGCAAATAAGGCATACACATAACTGGCCAATTAAAAGGCGTATGGTCGAGCCGACCAGCACCATTCGACCAATTAAGTCATCCAGTACTGGATGATCAATTAAACCAAACAATGTTGGGTGGCCAGTCATACCTGGTTTGTGTGGGCGACCAAACCCGCGGGCGTACAAACATGCAATGCAATATATAAGATTCAATTATTTTCATTCATTTCTCTTTTATTTTTAAAGGAGTCACCAGTCTATCTACCATCGTATACTTTTTCTTTCCAAACAAGTTTATCTTTCGGATCGTATAAATGATCAAGAGAATA